CATTGACTTCAATAATTTGAATAAGAGAGTTTTAAAGACTGGGCCAAAAAATATAGTTTTCCTCAGGATAGAACTATGCAGGGATGAAATCTTCAAAGTGCATAGACTGACATTTTCCAAATACTTTTAATAGTGCACTGGATAATTTCAAAATTGGAGCAAAATAATAGTATCTATATGACATTTCTAAATTGGATCAATAGCTAATGCTTTACAGTGGTCCAAACAATATTGATAGGGAAAAAAACCACATTACTGAAATAGGTTTGTAACCACTACTTTTCTACAACTTCATATATTCAGTTTGGAGCATTACCATGTTTTATTAAGGCAGGCAATTCCTTGATAAAGGCTAAAAACCACTGAAGCCGATGGACAGACTCCATTTTACTACAGTGGGCTTTGGATCAGGCCTTAAATGCCAGTAACTCTGGACTTAATATTGAACAGGTACAGAACAAAGGTAACAGGCTCTGGAAAAGTACTGCTTTCTTCTGACTGGCTGGCTAAGTTGCAAGAATTCATAATACAGGATGTGCAAAGGACATTTCAAAACATATACAGCCTGATTCTCCTCTCACTTCCAGTAAATCAGGAGCAAGCAACTCCATAGACATCAGTGGGGTTGCAGTGGTGTAAATGAGAGCAGAATCAGCCCTTATTGTTTTATAAACACCCATTAGAATTCCACAGGGACCCATCACCTTTCATCTTTCAACACTATATGTAGTTGCTTTTTAATCATGAGATTAAATGTATTAAAGTAACAGTACAAGAAACTTTTATAGAAAGATGCAATATCATAATAAAAATGACATTATATAGTTGCCAAACTTTTTAAATGAATTGTGTAAACTGTTGTGTAACTACAGTACATTTACACAAAACTGGATTTTTTTTTTTGAGTTACTTAATAAAATATAAAGGAAATGATCTAACAATAGAACAAGTTGAGCGATTATTACAATCCAAGCTAATTAAAGACTCAATTTAAGTCTCACTTCCAATATCTGGGTTTCTTCCTAGATAAGATACTTGTTTAATTAGACATATTGCACCTGGCTAATAGAGGTCAGTTTTAACTCTACATTTATTTGCTTATTTATTAGTATTCTTCACCACCTTACCATTCTTTGGACCAAATCCTCTCAATCCATGCAAAGTTCAACTACTGGGGAGTTCCACCAGGATTGATTGACTCTTGCCTGAGCTGCCTTGGAGTGCTCACGCTGACGCCTCACAGCAGGCATTACACCCATGGGCAGGGGCTGAGGCCACTGAACATCCCAACACAGGTAGTTTTGGCCAATGAATCTGCCTAGCCACTGACCATGCATCTGTACCCAAAACCAGAACAGACCAGATAGTGCCCCATTACCTTCTCCCCACACAGAAAAACTGAAAGAAGGGACAAAGCTATTTGGGGGTGGGGGGGGGAGGAAATCACGAGTGTCCATGTGCAAAGTTTTGGAGGTCTCATGCAGGCAGGGGAGCTGGATTTACCTTCCCATTTTGTGGACAGGAGGTCAGATATCTCAGAGCACCATGGAAGCATAGAATGTCCATGCAGATGGCCAAACTTCACCTTCTCCCTCTCCTCTAGCAGCATAGCTCCACCTCATCTGGCTCCTTCCACTTCTGTCCTTACTTCCCCAAAGGTTTAGCATTAAGTCCTGTAGATATTTGCTGGGGCATAATTCAACGTAGCGTGGATCTCCCCCAGCCATGGCCCTTCATTGCTCAATGATGCCCATTAAACAAGAGCCCAAATTTGTAGCATTTGTCCAGAGAAGTTTCAGCAGAACCAGAGGGAAAGGAGGGCTGATACTGTTTAAATTCAGCTCCTCTCCCTCATCTTGCTAACATTTGAGCAAGTTTTCCAAACTTTTCAACCCTTCTTAGCTGAGGGGCTGATAGAGATGGGAAATAATAAAAGCTCTTAAATTTAGTCTTCAGATTGGGACTTTCCTGTTATACAGCATGTGCTTGAAGTTCACTGCTTATTCATCCTTGGAATTTTTCCATTTTATTTCCCAATCTCCACATTGGTTCCGGAATAACTACCCTGGGAAATAGATTCAGCCTCCTCCTTCTCCTCCTCTTAATTAACACTATGTTATCAAGGACATGTTGATAAGTAATAGACCTTACATTTCACCCCTGCACTGTCAGATATAGTAGTTTTGATCTCCCCCACCACTTTTAGACACTAGGTTAATTGACTGACTTCAACAGAATTACTCCCAATTTCCAACAGTGTAAATGAAAAGACAACCAGTCTCAGTGAGTTTACAATGCTCAGCCTTTTACCAGCCTAGGAAGGAACTGGAGATTTAGGACCAAATCTTGTTTGCCTTGCTCCTGTGAACAGTCCTATTGATAAGTAGGGCCAGCAGTATCTGGTCCATAATCCAGTATCATATTGGATCTCCATCTTTGCTTCCTCATATAGCTACGTGGCCTCCCCTATCTGCTTCTTTGTTCTGCTGCATGCCTAAAAGTGTATATGTTGGTCCATTTCCAAAGAAGCCAACAACTCACACTTAGTTTATTTGAATAACCCGGAGCAAGTATGTGAGTGACCATCACCACAGCAGGTTGTAAAAATATAAAAAAGATTCTGTAGAAAGTGAGCAAATTATCTAAGTTTTTTCAGAACCTTCAATTAGCCCTGTTTGTTACAACAGCCTTAGTCATCCTGGCCCAGATCCTCAAAAGGTATTTAGACACCTACCACCGAGTGAAATCAGTGGGAATTAGGTGCCTAATCACCTTTGAGTATTTGGGCCCTTGTCCCAAGGTGACTTCAACCTTATTGTTTACATTTCCTTTCTTTTTTGAAAAAATGATTCTGAACTTGAGAGAAGGCATAATCTCAGACCCTAAGGACCACCTGAATTTACTACACTCATGAACCCTTTGTGAAGTAAAGCTTGACTTTTATTGCCACCCCAGCTCAGTCCAAATAGTTGGTGTAGGGCAGAAGCAAGTGGGAAAACAAAAGCTGTGCAGAGAGATTTATGCTCCTTCTTCCAGACTCCCTCAGATCAAGTATATGCACTGCTTAAACATTCACAAATACATTGGCCCCAAATGTCCTCCTGATCCGTGAAGTAAAATACACAATTCTGACATCTCAAGGTCCATGTTTCCTGAAATGATCAATGGCCACTACAAGCAGCAGCAGCAGCAACTAAATCAAAATCAGGTTCTGGGCAACTTTAAATAGTCAGTTTGTGACCTAGGCCCAATCAAACTCCTGTTGAAGTCAAAATGACTTCAGTGCAAATTGGATTGCACCCCATCCCCTAATGAAAGGAATGTGGAATTGATCCTGACCAATGGGAAATCTTGGCAAGTGATCGTAACAAGTGGTGCCACCGTCTTCATCAGGGTATCCAAGTCCATGACAGGAGCTGGCTCCTACAGCTTGAAGAGAGAAGAGCCCATAGGAAGCAAGCAGTTCCCAACCAAGATCCATACACTTGCAATAACTGCCAAAGATCATGCAAACCTCGGATTGGCCTATTCAGTCACATGAGACATTGCAAACCATCTACATCATAGGCTGCAATTCCCACCATCTCTCACAGACAAAAGGATGCCAACATAGGTTTAAAAACAGAGCTGGAAAAATGAAAGCACTTCTGAAACTGAATCTAGCATAAGATGCAGTGTTATTGTACCTGTGTTGGTCCCAGGATAGGAGAGAGAGATTGAGAAGGTAGGTGAGGTAATGTCTTTTATTGAACCAACTTCTGTCTCTCTCACCAACAGAATAAAAACAGATTCCCCACCCAACTTGTCTCTCTAGTGTCAGACTTTTTCAGCTCATGAAAACACACAATTTCACCCTAGTGTAACACTGTTGTAAGTCAACTTTGGCCCCTTACTTGTGTGCTGGTTTATACAATTGTCTTTTGTCATTTCAGAGTTATTTCATACAATTGAAACAGGAATAACAACATTTCATAACATGCAGAAGCAGTTGTCATAGAATTTCTAAGACAGACGGACTTAAAGAACTAAAAGTCTTTTCACACAGCATTAATTCAAGCTTGTGTTTCGGTCTACCTGCCTCTTAACAGAGTATAAAATATATTTTATGGGCATGTAAAACCCACTCAATCATCTTAATCTCTTCCTCAGAGAGGAAGTATAGTCCAGTAGCTGGGTGTTAGTCTGGGCTCGTAACTGAAGTTAGACACGATGGTGCTTTTGAAAATTCCAGTAGGTGCTGAGTTGTATGAGCTGGCTGATGAGGAGGCCTCATTCAGTGGTCTGGTTTTCACCCCAGCTACCTGCGTCTTCCGATTAGAAGACTACTCCCTCCAATAGCTATTTTGCCAAATTGCCCATGACCTGTTCTTCTACAACAGCCTTAGAAATGCTTATGCATTGCATGGCCACAGTTGTACAGGAAAGCTGTGACAGATCTAAAATAAGGCTCAAGACAGCATGGGAGGTCTGGAGCTTATTTGTGTGAGCATTCCTCTCATCTGTGAGTGTTGCAATTCCCTATGACTCAGGGACTTTTTTTTGCATCCCACAACAGGCTGACCTTTTCCTTCACTGTGAAGTCATTGTCCATAGCTTCCTACAGACTGCAGTTACTGAGTGCTCAGTAGGACTTAGTGTTCTATGGTTCTCAAATTTCATATCTAGTCATAAACTATAAATACACAGAGTATAGATTATCTTTATTCAAACTTTCCTGAAATGCAATGCATGCATTAGCTTAATTTATACTCACAAACTGTAAACTTTTGTTACAGTGCCTGGGAGTAATGAGAAATCAGTGGCAGATAGATACACTTTGAGGGCCTGATCCAAAGTCTATGACATCATTGAAACCTCAATGGGCTTTGATTCAGCCCTTAAAGCCAGTCAGAACTTCTCATAAAAATTTGTCATTTTACTGCACAACATAGAAAAGCTAATGACAACATTAAATCCGGAGAAAAGAACATATAGTTCAATAAACATTTGACTTTAGCTACCTTACTTCACAGGTAAATTGGGAACGGCACCTCCACTTCAGTGTTTCTGTCTTATAGGTGATCCTCCAAAGGAAGAATGCTGACGTATAGCTGGTCTTTTGAAAACCTGTATATAAAGAAAATTAAGAAAACACTTTCAACAAGCAGCACTTCAGGTCTCCATCTTTTTCCTCCCCCAAAGCTTTTATATCCAGTTTTTACACGATATTAAAATATACATACAGGACAGTTGCTAGTATGTTTTTATCTTGCTATTAATTACTGCTGTTTGTGAAAGGGCAGCAACAAAAGAGAAAGTTTTGTCTTATACTTTTGTTACGCTGAATCAGTTAGTTCTTGAATCCTCTAGGAACGGCACATTTCAGGAAGTCTGAACAGGAAACTATGACCTGGGCATATTGCCAAGGAATATCAGAAAGCTGCCAGAAAGTTGCAAAACACAAGCTTTAGTCAACTCACATTAACCACTAAATGGCTCTCTTTTTAACCATTCCCTTCACTCAAAAAATTCTGAGAAAAGCTACTGAACTGAATGGCAGCATCAATTTCAGAAACAAAACCCATGGTGCTGTTTTTTATTCTAGACTCTAAACCTCTTAATTTCCTCATCTGTCACACCATCTCCTTTGGCGTCTTTACATGAATGCACACACAAAGTCTGATCTGATCTCACACCGATTTTACACACGAGTACTTCAAATAGAGTCACTCCAAACGTACACAGGAGTAAGTGAGATTAAAAATCAGACCCAAACGTGTAAACATTCTGTATAGCAGAACATGAGTTCATAACGATTAAAGCTTTTAGAAAGTTGACTACTACCAGATTTTGCTATCAGAATGCTAGGTTCGAGATGTCAATGGTCTGATCTAATATGGCAGATCCTAGTATGCTCCTATACAGATCAGGGAATGCAGTAACTATAGGTGATTATTTAATATCAAATGATATTTAGGATCAAAATTATTCCCAGCACGGTGGGGAGAGGATACAAGGTATCTTTCCCTTACATGCAGGAGCTGAACACAATGCCACTGCTTCCATTCAGAGAGAACAAAGGCAGATCAGGGCTGCTAGGCAATAGCTTTCCCCAAGGGCAGATGGGTTCAGCTGCAGTATATCCCCCGTGTTCTTCACATTGGCAACAAAACTGGCTGGACACACAGGGGGATTGGGCACTGCACTCCATCAGAGATGGCATAGTGACTGTTCCCCTTGCCCACCCTGGAGCTGCTGATGGCATCCTGCCCATTTTGGGCCATTTTCCATTTGTGGCAATCTAATGCATTTTCCTGAATGTACATATTCATATGGGTTGTGAAAATGTAGCCATTTAAGTCTGTTTTATTATTACATCCTAAGGGACTGCATGATCCCAACTGACTGGCGGCAAGCCACCCATTCCCAAGACCTACTTAAACACAAACATGAACTGAATTAGCAGAATTAGTCGAGTGCTCTGTAGAGTTTTGAACAAAAAAAACCAAAAGACACCACGCCTCTAGGGCTTGCCAGAAAACAAGAATTCTGTATTGTGAAAAATTGAGGTTTTGACATGTTTTTTCCCTACTACTGAACAAAACCAAGATCTGAAATTTTTTGCAAAAATCCAGAAAAGTGACAGACAGACCAGTGGTTACGGGACTTGGGAGACCCAAATTCAAGTCTGCACTCTGCCAGAGTCCAAGCTATAGAGTCAGTCTGTCACTCTCTCCTGTTGTGCCTCTTCCTATCAATAATTACATATTCATTGGGGCAGAGCAAGACTACTCGATAGCCCAGTGGTTAAGGCACTCATCTGGGAGACCTACTTGGCTATTCTGTGGACACACACATCCATCCTAGATCTGAGAAACATTGGCATTGAAAACAATAGGTTTCCATGAAGAGTTTTGATTTAGAAGAACAAACCAACCAACATTTGCCATCAAAAAAGGTTTCTTCAGAAGATTCCTAACCAACTCTACATCAGGGGTTGGCAACCTTTCAGAAGTGGTGTGCCAAGTCTTCATTTATTCACCCTAATTTAAGGTTTTGCTTGCCAGTAATACATTTTAAGAAGGTCTCTTTCTATAAATCTATAATATATAAATAAACTATTGTTGTATGTAAAGTAAATAAGGTTTTTAAAATGTTTAAGAAGCTTCATTTAAAATTAAATTAAAATGCAGAGCCCCCCCCCAGACCCAGGCAGTGAGAATGCCACTGAAAATCAGCTCATGTGCCACCTTTGGCACGCGTGCCATAGGTTGCCTACCCCTGGTCTACATTGTTAAGGGAAATTTGCCAGCCAATTCTGTCAAACCATCTAGCTGGGTAATTTCCTTTTTTCATGACAACTGCAGTCAGAACTGCTTATATTTGAGCCTGATAGTAGCAACAATTTGCCAATAGCATTTTAATAACCAATGTAAAGTTATTTCAAAACCATGTATAGTACAAATCTCTCATTGCACTAAATGTGAACTCACTTCAGCCTTGCCATGCCCATTAAAATAAAGTTTAAAGTCTTATGTATTTTTAACAAAATTTATTTCATTTGATAGACTCATATAGAGAAAGAGGTACAGGTATGTTTAAAGATGAATGAAGCTGGCACAAGACAAAAAGTGCTGGAAAGACTTCATTGCCCAGTCATCTCAGCTGAACAGACAGAGGAGAATCAGAGAGAGAGAGAGAGAGAGAGAGAGAGAGACGTGTTTCTATGTTAAGGCCTCACCCACTACCTATTGAGGCTAATAATCAGGCCCTTAATCCAGCCACGAGCTCTCTCTGCAGCCAGATAGAACTGGTCCTGGAATCCTGTCAACAGTGGCCAAGTGCAAGCTGCTGCAGTCAGGTGCTGTCTGAGAACACACTTTCCTTTTTTGACCCTAAAAATAAAAGGCCTAATAATAAAAACCACAAAAAGAAAGAATTGGCTTTTTTCTTTCCCACGGATAACTGTGGAGTAAATATGCTCAGGAACATGGGTGGGAAAAAAACTATTAATTCTGAAAGTTAGCCTAGGAAAAACAAGACCTTTTAACACATAAACTTGAAAGATTGTTAATGCTAGAAACTATCATAAGACTCCCACTTAGGCCCTGTTTGGAGGGCTTTGGGCTGACCTTGCACAGGAGCAAATTTCACCCTGGTGAAGCAATTAAGACATTTTGTGTGATAGAGGGGAATATACCCTTCTGTCATGGGGTACACTCACTACTAGGGGTGCCTTCTTCTGGCCACTCAGGATATCAGACATGAGTGGAGCTAATCCCCACTTCTGTTACTCATTCATGTATCTTGCCGCTTCCTCTCTCTCTCTTTCTGCAACTCATGATGCTCTCTTTATAATTTGGCCCTCCAGCCAGGTAACTATAGCCCTCCCGTTCCAGGGTAACAAAGTCCCACTGGATGACTGTCCTAGACAGCCTTCTGCTCCACTGCCTGCTCTGTGCCACCTCCCCAGTGGTTGGTAGGGGAAACCAGGGCCCACCTACTATTCCAGGTTCCATCCCAGGGACCCTACAACCAGCAGCCAACTTCTGCACTGTCCCAAATCTTCCTACTGTTTCACTGGGCTACTCCTACTTCACTTCTGTCAGGCTTTTTCTCCATTCTTCTCTGGGTTTGCCCTTCCCTCAGGACCAGGACCTCAAAGCTTCTAGTCTCTCCCCCTTTCCCTCTCTAAGGCTAGAGAGAAACTACAGCACCAGTCTGCTTCCTGGATTTATCATAACCCAGCCAGTTCCTTCTCAGCTGGGCTCAATTCCTAATCAGGGGTTGTTTATCTAGCCTAATTCCTCTCAGGTGCAGCCTATCAAGTTAATTGGCCCCCTTCTCAGCCTCATTAACCCTTTCAAGGCTGGTGGGGGTGAACACCCCATCATACCTTCCAAATCTTTCCTTCTTTTTATTAACTAAAGCCTTGAAGTGGTGGAAACTTAACAGTTAATTATTCTGAGTCATGGTAATAAAGCTTTGGAAGCTGCCAAAACCACATCATTTGAGGATAATTTGAGTGAAAGCTTTCCTCTCTCCATTTTTATGCCAAACACCATATGCAAATTCACATATTTACCCACACTGTAAGTCTTTCAGGGGAGGTGTACAGGGTGAAATCCTTGCTCCACTGAAGTCAATGTACATCCGATAAAGTGACTAAGTTATCAGGATTTAATGTAAATATGATGTTGTGTATACACATATTTCATTTCAATGACTGACCCACACAATAGAACTGACTTGGTTCCTTGTAGCTACTCAAACAAGCCTTTAAACCTCTCCTATGCACGAAGTGTTTAGCCAAGAAAAAGAACACTCTCTTATATCCCCTCCCCATTTTTCATTCTTTTTTTCCTTCACCCTCCTCCTATATTATAAATAATGAGAAGTAAATGAAGATAAAGTGAGGTGCCTTGATTGGGGCAGGGGATCGGGGTGCAGGAGGGAGTGCAGAGGTCAGGCTCTGGGCTGGGGCAGGGAGTTGGGAGGGGGTGGCATGGCTCCCAAAGCGACTGGCACACACACCCCTCTGGCAGCAGCTCCTAGACCAGGGGGCAGGAGGTTTCCATATGCCACTGCCTGCAGGTGCCCCCTCCCCCACAGCTCCCATTGGCCACAGTTCCAATGTGGCCAATGGGAGCTGTAGAGTCGGCGCTCGGGCAGTACATGGAGACTCCCCCCGCCCCTGGGGCCGTGCATGGAGACCCCCCCGCCCCTGGGGCCGCAGGGACATGCCGGCCGCTTCTGGGAGTGGTGGGGGGCCACCAGCCATGGCAGGCAGGCAGCCTGCCTGCCTGAGCCCTGCTGCGCCGCCAGCCAGGACTCGGGCAGGTTGTCAGGTAAGATTTTTCCTGCATTTTGGGGGCCTCATCATTGGGGGCCCCCTGCCACCACACAGTTTGTTTCATGGTAAATCCGCTCCTGAGCTGGCCCACAAAGACTCCCCCCTTCTCTTCATTTAAACCCTTCCACTTCTTCTGTGATGCACACAAGAAATTAAGCTATCTATTTAGCTGTTGAACTGATAATTCTCATGAGTGAGCTGCTCATCACTATGGAGGGAGGGGTTGCTGTAAAGAGAAGACAAGAGGTTTGAATGATGGAGAAAACGGGAGAGTCTTCTAAATAAAAAGAAGGAAATGTCTGACTAATAAGACAGAGACCTCTCATCACCCTCACTGCGCTGCTTATGTGTTACAATCCTTTTCCCCCAGCTTTTCCCTGTTTTTTAAAATCTTTATCCTAAAGAGCACCGAGTCTGTGCTTTTATTTGTGTTTGGAAAGTGCATAGCACGGGCTTGGGGCACTACTGCAATCTAAATATTCAATACAGATCTACTCACAGTGCTGTGGAAATGGTCATCCCTCA